AGTCCAGGAATCCTACCACTAATTTTTCTGTTGGGTTTGTTGTTTTTTCAGTAGTTTATCCGTCTGTCACCAACCTGACAGATGCAGATTTGATGAGATAGAAGGAGTTACAGGATGGAGAGATGACAAACGTGGTTGTAGCTCTCCTGTTAGCAGTGTGCAGCCTGCCTCCTACACAGGTCATAGGTAGTGACTACAACACTACAGAATGCCCCTTCACAGTTACATTAGATTTTGTCTGTGGTATCAATATTAGTTTATTCCATCAGCACTTCATTTGATGAAAATTTCCCCTGCAGATTGCTTACCAGAAGTTTTTATATCACTTTGATACTTAGTACAGATGAAAGTGCTTTACCTTGAGAAGCTATTAAATATCTTCTTGGATACATTGCCCTGTTTGACAAAAAATTCTAGGATATTTTCTTTGGTGTTATTTGTAAATGCAATACAGGACACCGCTCAAACCGGATTTTCCTGTGTCATCTGATCTAAACAATTACTTTCCATTGTTTACTCCTTCTTAATTCATAATTACAATTGTAAAATGACTGGTCGTTCTCATAAGCAGAGAATTACTGGATTGAGATGGATCACAGAGTGTGTCGTGCAGTTTTAGAGCATTGAAGTCATTTGCTGCACCTCAAATACAGAGACAACATTGAAGGGAAGGAGAAGTAAAATAGAATTTGTACTGCTGTTTTTCTCCTGCAGATGGGAGATCAATAACATATTTTTGATGAAAGGTGGTAGCTGCAATTTGTATTTGTAAATGCAATGTGTTGAAAATCTATGTAGCATTAACAAAAATGTTGATGAAATACTTTAAAAAAAAAAAGTTCTTTTCTTTCATTCACCTGTAAAATATATTATGTATCTTCAACTACAGAGCACGACACAAGGAAGCACAATAGGAATAGCCAACATGGGCATAAGAAACATTGTGTAGAGACAGCATTAAATGTTTTTGCACGTAGACTTCACTGGGAAATGCAAAGTTCTCTGATAAAATTGTTTGATGGCTATTTCAGTAAATTACAAAAATCAGCATCTCTGGCTGTGGGTCAATATGACTTACCACTAGGAGCTAGATACCTGTTGTAATTCTACAAGACTTCACTACTGTTACTGCTACTAGGGGAAAATGCAAATAGATAGTCAATTTGTTTTGTTTTTACTAAACATTTCATTTAATCTACCTTGTCTCAGCTGAAAACAGTAATGAGAATCAATATCATTTCTTCTTTAATTTTCAGGAAGATGGTATTTCTATGCATATTTTTTAAATCTTCATAACACAAAGAGATTAAATCACTAACAAAAGTATGTGAATGGCCAAGTAATAAAATATCGAAGTACACAAAAAAAGTGTAAGACTACAGAAATCATATAAAACCAAAGAAAATTTGAACATATTTTGTGTCCTCAGGCTTCAAAGGCTTCTTCACCTCCCAGAGGAGCTCCATTCTCTATTACTACACCTCAAGAACAAAGAGTATATAATCCAAAAGATGTGCACTATTGGTGGTTAGAACTTTTAAGAAAAGTTAAAGTGAGGCAAGACTCACCCTTGTTTATCTCACTCCATTAACTTTTCTTATGCTCCTTCAATATTTTTAATCACACTATCGATTAATTGCATTCATCACTATTTTCTATTGAAGTTTCCTACAGAATTATGTGCATTTGACCTAAGAAATATTTGTCTTAGGTTTAAGTATGATCAGGTAGTAAGTAAGAAAACTTAAGCTTGTTTATGACAAACTACATTATGTACTGCCTAGTTGAAAGGAATAAATTAAGTCTTCCATTTATCTTACAAGTAGTACAAGATGCTCAAAAAGGCAGGAGCCTTCAGTTTTAGAGCAATACTACATTTTCATCTAGCTGGTTCTGTTACCGTCAGGAAACTCCACGTTTCCAGTGTCCTCAAAGTTTGTGTACTTCTCCTCTTGCTTGTGGAGGAAGATGACAAATAGGAACTATCTGCCTGGGGATGCTGTGCTCACCAAACCCTGGCAAAGATTTTCAGTCATTCCAGATATGAGGCAGTAGCTCAATCTCTGTAATCAGGCAAACCTTAGGTAATGCTATTATCAAAATGGTGGCAAACAAGGTTAACTATAAAAGCCTGCTTATTTAAGAAAAGTTGTTTTGTGTAAAAGGTAAAGCATTTCTTTATCTTGATAGTAAGTGCATGCCAGGAGAGGAAAACAACAGCAACTAAAGGTTCATACAAAACTGCTTTATTAGTCAGTGCAAGTGTTTGACTCCTAATTATACAATGGCAATATCTTGATCCAATCTTTAAAAATAAATCTTTGCTCTTCTATACAACAAAATAGATTATATTTAGCAACATTTGCCCTACAGTGGGGTTTTTTGAATATTGTTATTATGTTCTGACTCAGATATTTGGAAATGTTCTAAGGCAAGCATTGCTGTATCTTAGCTGTTGGTAAAGGCTGTACTAATAGCAGCAGCCAGTGCATATATAACAGTCATAGCAACTCCAACCTCAACTAATACTCAGTGTGTGTCTCAATAGAGATACTTGGAATGGAAGAACCTGTTTCACTCTGAGTTAAAAGAGAAGTTTCTATCTTCTGTATTAGTTGTGTCTTTTATTATATGAGACATTACAGTTTGACCTAAAGAGAGAAAAGATAAAAATGCTACTGATTAATCTTACTGTCATAAAGGGTATTTTGTTTCTGCTAACAAAGAGGACATTATACTCTCCTGAAATATATTCTGTCCTTTATAACCTTCATAGCAAAATAGCGACATACAAAAATCGGAAACTGTATGGTTTACTCATATAGCTTCAGTATTTATATTTCTCAAAGGGAAGGCAGAGGATGATAACTGAGAATATTGGCTGATAAAACAGCTTGGTTAACAGTCTGTGGTATTATACTCTTTGTGGTTATCACCAAATTGTCAAAAGCAATATCTAATCTTGACTGGAAAAACAAGAAAGCCAGAGAAAAACGTGTGTTGTTTTCTGAGATGAAACAATTTCAGTCACCCAAGTGTACTAAGCTAGTGAATATTATCAAGACTAATAACTTCCACAACTGACTTTGAACATTAGCAGTACTAATAAATTTGGATCTTACTTTATCATGCTGTATTGGCTTTGAATTCACAAAAATTTAAACCCACAAAATTTAACTATTAAGCTAGTCTAATGATTACACTATGCTGAGCTAATACTCGGTGGGTAAAAATAAGTGCAGTTACTAAGCAAAGTTGCATATACAAATGCTTCATTCCACGGTATCCCTCACATCTACAAGTCATTGGTGGAAATAATGTTCATTTTCTGATACATTCATTTTTTAGAATCATCAGATATTCTTAGATATGTTAATTGATAGATTAAACATTTTTCACTTTGACTAGTATTATTTGTTATCTTCTATCTGCACCTGGGTGTCGACAGATTTAGAACAGGTACGGAAAAGAATTTAAATTATGATAACTCCATTAACTACAGCTTTACCCAAATGTGTTGTTCCTTTTATACATTAAAAGGATATGACTTTTTTAAAATATTATCTACTACTTGGTTTAACTACGTCATTTTACAAGAGCGAACAGAAGAATTTGTGAATGCATTTTCCAGATTGGAGAGATTTTTAGCAAGGACACATGAGTTTGTCTTTCAGAGACCCCATATGGTGCAAACAGACTATATGGGATCAATAACAATGCCTTGCTTATGAGTATCTATGCTGGCACTCTTTCTAGTGATTCATTTTCCATGCTTGTTTAGTCTAAAGCTTCCCAGAGGTAGAGGCTGCTGGCTGTACTCATTTAAAAATAGTGGCTATCATGGTTACCATTTAAGAATTAATTGTTTGTGACATATACAAATTAAATAACTAAGGCTGCATAGTTCTTGAATGTTGAACTGGCTTTACAGTTTCCAGAATGACAAATGTAGGCTGATTTCCTAGAAACTACAGAGGATGGATGCAGTAAGTTTTCCTTTAATGATAGATCAGAATTCATCTTCTCTCCATATTTGACTGCTTATACAGTCAGTGGCTGAAGACTTTTACAAGGTAGACAGTAATTCCATATTTAGTCCTCAGATTCACTTCAGACAAGCTGGTTTCAAAGCCATGTGCTAATACTGATGTTAAACTATCCTCATTGGGCACAAATTGTCACTGTTCTTCCACTTCCCTCTAAATATTTTATGGAGTATTGCTTCTCTTTTTCTTAGGGAGATGTGAAAGGCAAATTGTCAGTAAAGACTAACCAGAGTAACAAGCTGTAGGATGCACCCTCATACATTTAAGTAGTTTTATGAATCAAGTTCCACTGAGCTACTCGGGACAGTACCAATATTCACAAAAGCGCTATGTCAAATCATGCAACACCTTACTCTTCTTCTGCCAGTCCTGGCTCAAGTAGTTCTCCAGCTACAGTTACACAAAGCAGGATGCTGCCAAAGTTACCAGCTTGCTGATAATTCCAAACTATTCCGCTCAGTGATGAAAGGCAGATTAAGACATGGGTAAAAAACAGCTCAGGATGTAAAAGCCATGTTCATACATAGCTGCCAGTAGGTGGGTACTTTTTTCAGGTAGAGCAGCTGGGGAATCCTTATGGTGGAAGAAACAAACTGAATCTCAAGGTTTCAGCTCCTTTTGCAAATACAGTATTAGGCTGCACATCCCTTCTGCTGCTGTATTTGTCAGCAGGGAGAGAGGAATGCGCTCTTACACAATTATTTTTATGGTACTTTTTCTTGCATTTAAACAACTTTATCTCATCCTTCCAGGTTTTGGACAGGCAGTTTGGCAGCAACTTTCTATTTAGGCTCCTTTCTTTTTTAATTATCCTAAGTGTTGCAACACTCTACGATTATTCTTCTTATGAGATACATTAATAATTTATTAGATAAGAGATAAGTTTTGCTTTACGGAAACTAATCATCGTTTCAGAGAAGACTACAGTAAAATTGAATATGTCTATTTTGTTAGACCACTGTATCTTGGGATGGAGATAAGCTTCTTTGTGTGCAGAATGGAGAAAAAGAAGGTCGTGGTTGGACCCAGTGGATTGAAGGAGATGAAATGCACCTGGTAAGATCATGTTACAGGTTTTAAATGCCACTTTGTTAACATGGTTAGATGTAATGCAGCAGGCCATGTGCTATGTTACCTTAGTTTACTTTGACATAATTAGGTATTGGTGTAGCATTCGACTTTTTTCTAAAGCAACAGTTTCATTTGGAGCCATTATGCTTTTATGTCCCTTACAAAGACTGCCTGATTTCAAAGCAGTACTCTTTCTGTGTTAACTGTCTGTCCAGACATACCAGTTTGAAATGTTTACACTGAGGAAGACATTTAACAGAATGTCCTTCATACAGTCTTTAAAATATGCAGTATGGGATCTGGTCAAATTATGCAGCCAACAAGAAGCTATAAGAGGAAAATACACCATTGTCCTTTTAAAATAATTACAGACCAGACTGCATTATAGCCTAGAGAACTAAAACAGCAATTAAGTTTTTGAAATGTCATGTTCTTTCAGATCATCTTTTTTATCTAAGTTAACAGAACCTGAAAGAAGATGCCTATTCTTTTCTCACATAGCTCTTTATAGCATCCTCATTTTCTTAACAATGTGGGTAAAAGGCAGTCTTCCTGTTGAGATGATAAAACCCAACCTCCATTTCTGTTCACTGTTCAGTACTACTAGTGTTCAACAGTCTAAATGGATGTTCTCTAAATACTCGAATCAGTAGCAGAGTTATGAAATCTTTGCAAAAGTACCCCAAACCCCTGATTACTAAATGCAATTTTCAGGAAGTACTGGAAGTCCCAGAAACCAGTTTGGGAAAGGAATGTATATGACAGATACTACCATCTGGACTACATACTTGGTATAACGCAGGTAGGGAGAAAGTTATTGTGTAAATGATCACTTTATAGATGAGGCCATGGGCTTAATGAAAGTAGGAGAGAAGCAATAAAAAGGAGACCCCAGAATTTCTTGTGTGTATATATTCCCTCTATCTATACACAAACACACTACAGTATTTCCACACTGCCTCACAGCTTCACAACAGTTGGTACCATGACACCAAGCATCAGCACTTTCAGATTCTCTGCTGGCAAGCAGGTTGCAATTAGCCATTCAATGTCTGGTCTAGAAGTTAACTTATACCTTGCTGCACTCATCTGCAGATACATGAAGCAATAGCAGTAGTTGCTCTTGGATTTCTCTGTATGGGCATCCTGGTTTCTGTCTCTTGCCAGCGCCAGCTCCATGGTTATTATCTCTACCCATTTCCCATCCCCAACACCAATTTCTTTAGCCTCGATTTCTGCTATCCTTACCCTGCATCATGCTCTAGCCATAAAACCTAGCCATGGACCTCCAGGCCAGACCACTTTCTATACTTGACTCTGTTAAGAGTTTGATTTTAGAAGTCATAAATTCAGATTCAGTTGCTCAAGCATATGTGTCTAGTGCCACTTTAGTTACTCCAAGGAAACCTGACTGATCTGACGCTGCCTTTTCAGAAGGCTGTGAAGAGTTCTGTATCATACCTGCCAACTCATGCAGGCATCCATGCACTCATTGGCACTTGTACAATTTATCACAATCTGTCTCTCATGTACACAACAGTCAGTACAAAATTACTTCATGCAAAGGAAGTAACTGAGTATTTTAGAGGCTAGTCCCCAATATTTCGATTTTATCACTTTTTATATCTAATGAACTTCAAGAGTTGTCCTCTTTATTTCTCTGAATCCTTGTTAATGTAACTCTCTCCATTAAACATACAGTAAAAAGTCCCGTTTAGTATCTTATTTTTGACCAGCTAAGATTACTAAGTCCTGTACTCTTGAGAGTCCTTTGATACAATGGGCAGTTACATCTAAAAAATTGATACTTCGATAGCTTTATGATCCTATTGAACTTTACACAATGAGCCAAGTGTTAATTTAATTCTTTCCACAGTTCTGTAGAGAGCAGTACCACATCCTTTAGTAGTTTATCGCCTCCTATTTTCTTCATTTCATTCTATGGTCTGTACTTTGTAGTTCTTTTTCCTCCTTAGATTCTATTTTATATGAGTGACTTATTTGACCATTCTCCATTCCCTTTTGAGTTTTATTGCCCTTTTCTATTGTATTGATTGCTTCTGCTCTGTAGGTTTTTGTCACTGTCAGCAGATCTCTTAGCCCTTATTGCACACTCCTTCTTCTGGGTTACCTATATAGAAGCGAACAAAATCACTCTATCAGTCTGCTTTTTCCATCAATTCATCATGAAGCGCCTTCTCTTACTAGGGACTAGCAACATATGCCAATAAGGTGTAAGGTTTTTTTAATATGTCATTTTATCAAAGTCCCCCATAAGAAAATGTGCATAACTTCCCAGGAAACTCTGCCTCCTGTTTCCTCAAAATACTATGATAGCTTTATTAAACATCTTATCTTGAAATAGAAGGTACATCCCTTCTGCTAGGTCACACATAACCTTTGTCTTTAAGAAGTTGCACCCCTTTTTCTTCTTCCACCAAAACTGGTCAACACCTCCACATATCCCCACCCATATTGTGTGCACTTCTCAGGTCTAACCTAAATAGATTCAGTAATGGAGAATGTTAACTGCATCTTCAGTGAGATCAGGTAAACAACAGTAGACCTCACAAATCAGTGCCTAAGGTGTAAACATCACTGCACCTGCTTATGCATAGTTCATGATGATCCAATGGTTAGCAAGTAGGGATTTTTGAGAAGCTCTTGTGGAACATAAAGGAACAGTAGACAGCACTACGCATCCAGTATGGTCAAGTTCAGTCAAAACTCACTGCTGTGCTGTCATGTATAGACCTATATCAAATGTTCTGTACCCAACTACCTGTCCTTTTCTAGCCATGATCACTGTATTGCTAGAGTGGGCTTTCAGCTGATTTCTAGTTTTGTAGGTTTGAACTACCAGTCATCAACATGCAGATTCAGAACTGGTTATTCAAATCCATCCCCAAATAACTTCTTTATGTATCCAAAATAGAGAATGCCCTTTTCAAAGACCTTAGCAGTTGCACACACTGCAAATAGAGAATAATGCACCAGGAACATACTTGGCCCTTTTAAGATCTGAGATGCCAAAACAAGTTCTCTTACTCCATCTTTCACCAGAAAACAAACCCAAACCAGCTGGTTTCTTTTAGGATTAAAAATAGGCTAAAATACGTACAAGCTACCCTATCTAGTTTGATAGAAAATTGTGGATTGACATTAAGCTGGAGACACACATGAATGTATAATGCATGTGTCCTATGTAAAAGTTGTATTTTTTTATTATTTTCTCTTCCTAGGAAATAAGAGTGTGTGGAGTCAAGTGTAAGCAGGTCTTTAAGAAGGTACAATGAGCCTACTGCCAATACAGAAATGAAGAACAGTAGAATTTACAGACTTACCACCAGATCTCCAAATGGTAGTAATGATCATCAGTAACGACAGCAAACACAGAAATGAAGATCACATTAGAACTGTATAGTTAGAATAAAATATTTTAACAAATAATTTTCAAGAAATGGCTGCAAATAAAACTATTTTTCGAAATGCCAATTAAAGATACTAAACACTATAAATGTGTGCGTACCATAATTCCTGACTACACCAAAATAGGGCTTTTTAGTACAAAACAAGGTACTGGAGTTTAAGACCTTGTAAGCTAATTTTTTACTTTCAATGGAAATCACCCTTCAATAGCCTTAGCAAAGGGGCTTCAGGTAGTCTTGTTTTCAAATGTTGAATTGTAATTATAGGGAAGCAAATGAGATCTGTAGTATGTGGCTTACGCTGAAATCCTGATTTCACGGAAGCCAGTGAGAATTTTACCATCAGCTCCAGTTGAGCAGTACTTCACTGAAAGTATTCTACCAAAACTAAAAATCTGATTTTTCAAAATAAGTAAAGGTATGGATCAATAGTCTGGAAAAACAGTACCTACGGAAGCATGGCCAAGGGGCAGTTCTTTTCTAAACGCATTAGCCAATATTTACCCATTCCTTTTTCTTTTCTTCTTCTGGAGAAACTGATAGTAAGATCACTGCCAGAAACTGTATATAATTGTGTACACACCACACAAAACATATGACTAGCATTGCTTTGTACAATATCATTTGCAGATTTTTTTACGACCCATCATAGTCCTCATGTTCTCATGCAGTCTGAGTGCATAACAAAGCATTGGCCTAGCAGTTTCCAATGCTGGTTTAATCACTAGTTATATTAATAGTAATTTGCAAACCAAATTGTCATATTTTCAGTGTATCAACACTCTGGATATGCAATTAGCATCACCACATCAAGTTCAAAAAGACACAAGGATAGGGTGTGTCTGGATGGGTCAGACCTTTAGCACGTGACACAGTATTACAAATGTCTCCTGTAGCAACTGTTATTAGCCATTTTCAGGGACTTAAAGGGTGGGGAAGTTGCTGTGGCAGAGTCCAAGTCATTCTAAAATGGGAACATACCTTTCCCTACCCTGCTGCAACTCCTGTGCATAGCATTGCTTTTCCCTTCTTTGGGAACCAGTGCTGAGACTGAGAGAAGTTTTAGACATATAAATGGGAACAAATGCTGCCATTCTTTACTAACCAGAGACAGTTTTAAAATATGCACTATTATTAAGCCTGTTTCAAAGAGCTAGCAGCCTGGTCTAACATGAAGAAATGGAGGTTCAGAAACAGTCATTGTAAACTATAAAGTTAGTACAGCAGGGATGATAAACTATCTATCTGAACTATGGTACTTCAACCATACTATGAGTGTAGCACCAGATGTGCTGCAATGGACATCTAATTCAATTTTGTAAAGTTTTGGGTTTTACTTTACAACAGAAAGTACACAGAAAATATTACCCATGAAGCCTTAAGCATCCCCTTGTGATAAACAGGTGAAAAATACTCCCTGTCCATGTAAATTCTTGTGTTACTATTGCAACAGCTGTGGCTCATACTACTTAGAATTCCAGACATATATAATGCAATTGTTTACTTCAGATTCCCTCAGAATTTTTTTCTTGGCAATACATAATACTTATGCCTCAGGAAGACTCTGGGAATTATACTTGAGCCTAGTCAATCAGATACATGCTGAAGCTGTTTTTCTCTCTTGGAAGACTGTTTTAATGATGGTTAACGTCTGTCTGTGATTCCATAGCTAACTGGATATCCGTCCTGACCGATACACAGACCAGCAGTTTATGGTGACTAAGTTTTGTTATACTTGGAGTGGGACAAGTCAAAACTGGTTACAGTTAAATGAGACAGGTTATGTGGGAGGGAAAAGGATCAGAAACCTGTGTATCTCAGGTTAAAAATACTGCTCTGCTTAAGTGAAATTGCAAATAGCTGTCTACTTAAAATATTATTTATCACCTTACACAAGGTCGGGGATATCCCAGTTGCCAAATTTCAGTGCATCAGTCGTTTGTTTTTCTTGAAAGATTATTGGACACTGAAATGTCTTTCCTTCAAGTTTCTAAATTATTGATTTCATAACCATGAACACCCTCCAGATATCTCTCAACTCTTCAGCCCCAAGGAAAGCAAGAGAACAATGGAAAATAAGGTATGAACTCCAACTTCTCATTTGTAACAGATTTTAATTTTTTCAGACCACCTGAATATTCCTTCTCATGTGAAAATTGAGATTACACAATGGTTATTACAAGAGATGGTTCACGCCACTATCCACAATTAAATTTTGCATTATTCTTTGTAACGTTCATCACTGAGACCTTTTTTGAAATGTAGTTTTCCTTCAATAGAACTTGGCAGTTCAAAACCCTTAATTCACCAGATGTCTTCTAATTTTTGCCTGAAGCTCCCTGCAGCCTTGTGTAACATTCACAAACTCTTTTTGCAAAAGGTTGCAAGTGGATCAATTAACATCTAGCTAAGCACATCCAATTGTTAAAAGCTATTATTATTGTAATCAAACAGACAACTTTTCCCCTTTGGGTCCTTTGGTACAAGGGCAAATTTAGCACCGTACTAATAACTAACGGCTTATCAACCAGAAGCAATGTAACTTGCTTCTAAGGCGGCAAGCTCAGGAAGTACTTCTGCAGTTCACATACGTAAAATACAGAAACTTCAGAAATATTTAAGTTTGAATACATTCTCTTCAAATCACCTCAATTGCTTGTCATTATAATTGTAACCTCTTATCTCTACTGCAGCAACCATTTCCCTTGGAAAAGGAAATTATGTTCGTTCATTGCTTCCATGATGATGCTCTCCAAATAATGCATATAAAATTAGCCATGCTGTTTCCATAAACCTTTAACAACTTGTTATCATAAAATGTAACTTAAAACTTCCTCCATAAAATAGCTGCTTACTGAATGCGTAACATTCAACAATTACTTGACAAACACCAGCCTCCCTGACTACTTTCAAAGCTACTTAGTAGCCAAGACCTTCACAGTGAATTCATATCCAGGTTTGCTTACTACTCAGGAATCAAATTTCATATTAATTTTATTGATCTTCTGCAGAATTTCAGCTATGGTTTGCCAATACCAGCCCTGTTTTTCTGCACAACTGCATTATTTCCAGATAATGGACATTTTTAATTTTGTAAGGAAAGACCAGTGCTTACAGCAGCAGTATGAATGGAAGGGCAAAAAGGTGCATTTCACCATTTCTAAAAGTTAAATCCAGTCTTCATGTTATGCACAACCCAGAAAACTCTAGGTGACAAAAGCTGAAGAGTAGATTAAGGCCAATGTGTTCCACAAGCATGATTGTTCTACTTTTTCAGTTCCCACAGTTTGGGCTTTTGTGTTCATTTTCTAGGTGGGTATGATCTTCTGAAGATGACTGGGGAACTGACTATCATGTTTTATAGTTCTGTGGCTTTTCAGTGAATGGCATACACAGAAAGAATACATACTTGCTGTCTTTATAGCACATGAAGGCATGTTGTGCGTATGAAGTTTCAGCTTTAAGGAAGAAGTAGAGAGATAACCGTGTTTTTAGCAAGCATGGTGCAACAGAGCAAAATTCAGAGCCTGAAAGTTCAGGATGGCCGGACTTACTATGAAAATAGAAGCAGTAATATGTAATACAGCTATGAACAACCTGCTTAGCTTTGCTGAAGATACAGAGAATTAAACAAACATTAGGGATAAAACAAACATATTCTACCTGAGGTACGTAACAGTACCATAGTTATAAGCTCATCCAAAATTTCTCAGATATTCACCTGATTTTTCCAGGAAAAAAAATAGTTTTGGTTTGATAATGTCAACTTCAACTTTCTGCAACATCATTGAAATACTTTGTGCGGATCTTTTCATTATAAGCCCCTTATACTTAAGATACATCTACTTTGAAATGCATCCATAAGTTTGGATTTGCATCTCTCTCTTAGCCTGCTACTGTATTCCTTCCCCATAAATTCAGTCCTTTCTTTGCAGATCATAGTGATTACAGCTTAGATGTTGAAATTTGTTCCAGTCCTGGGTATTCAACCTACCATTAACTTACTGCTCCCCTAATTTCCTCCTCTTCCTCTTCCCTCTTCCCCTTCAACTCACTCACTATCCAATAATGTTGCATAGTCTGAATAAGAAGGTCTGGAATATAGCTAGTTTTCTACTGGCTTTCTTATAATTCCTTCCTTCTCTCCTTCCCCCTACCCAAATTTCAGGATTGTTCCATACGTTCCTGTAATTGTTTTCACTGGAATCTGCCTTGCTGTACACAAGGCTTACTTTTCCCCAGGGAATGCTCCCAGTAATTGGATTCTATCCTTTCCTGCTCTGCCCTGTCCTGCAGAGGACATTCCACTCATTTGGACAGTACACAAATTTGGGGCTTATCCCCACCATGAATTCTCATACAGCTTCCAAGAGGAGAAGAGCACACCGCATTAGTGGCACTCTCCAATAGCACCAAGTTCCAGTGCCAGAACAGATCTACCAAAAGCCTATGACTCTAGGCTGGAAGCTACTGGGACCTCAGAAAGCCCCTAAAGGGGGAGCTTCATGGAGGTACTTGCTGAGAAGCACTAACCTCATTGTTTTTACAAAAGTCTTTCCTATACAGTTGAAGCAGGGCACATGCAGATGTTCAAAAATAAAACCAAGTTTTGGGTGTAAATTTGCAAAAAGGGACTTCCTGGCTTATAGCCAGTGCAATAGCTATAAAGCACAATTTTTGTACATTCAGTTGTAGTTAAAGACAACATCAATGCAAAAGACCGCTTGCTTGATCTCAGATCCTTGGTTATACACATTTTAAATTGGCCTCTGGGCAGAACAGAGGAACACAAACCAGCCATTAAGTTTTTTTATAGCAGTTGGAAATTAAAATTAAATATCTCAAGCACCGATCTTTCAAGAATTATATTTTCTAAAGTTTCACTTTTGTGGGTGCAGTTGCAGTATTACGTCACTTATTTCCACGTCTTGCTGCACAACCTTGTTTGTTTAGCTAAAACTCCATTTTTAGTGTTCAGATCAATGAGGACAAATAAGTTGGTTGACAATTTTCTACTATCCAGATCTTAGGATGGCTCCACTGACAAAAATAGTAGGAGTCCTTAAGCTGCATGCCTTTTAGCAAGTATT